GATCTCTGCATGAGCATCCGGTCCAGACTTGTTACTGTTTATAAGCTTTTCCACTAAGCTGACAAAGAAGCTGAATAATGTATCTATCAGTCAGCCTGAGTGGGCTGAGCACAGGGCAGTGAGGAAGCTTGCTACAGGCTCATTACAGGTGAAGATGACATGTTGCGGAGCAGCCGACTTGGCACTGTCTCCGTGCTCCTCCCAACGATAGACGGCGAGACACTCAGTCACTCCCCACGGCGTACAGAGAACGTGAGGGTGGGGGCACAAGGTGGAAGCGACAGAGGAAAGGGTCCGCAACGCACCTCTAACCCACCCCCCCCAAAATGAAATTGACAGGCTCACTGAAGTAATTGCTCCCAACACTATTTTCTTTGGCAGGAAATACTGTTATCGACAGACAGGGGATTCAATAAGCTGCAGGAGATGAGGCTCAAGTCATTCCTCTGCCGTTGAGGTTGCAGAGTCTCCTGATGGTCTTTGCCCTTCCTTTTATTCCCAAAGTTATCTTTTATTTTAATCTTTCTTTTTTGTTTTTTTTTTTTACTTTTTCTGTATCTTTTTACCCTTTATTTTTTTGGCTTTTCTTACTCATGTATCAATATCCACTCACACGATTCTCCTCTTGATTTGGTCTTGCGCTTTTTCTCCAGGTTGACCATTATTTCAGAACCAGTCAGAGGAAAAACCTTTTATTACATAGAGGCCAGCCAGCGACTGCTCCACTTCCCCTCCTTCTCCTCAGATAGTTTCTCTGCTGCCAGTATCGTGGTGTAATGTTGATATTACCCCAATGGAGCCCATTGATTTGAGCTCAGAGCATAAAAAAGCAGTTTATGGCCAAAGTCTTCGGTTTCCAGAGGTCAGATCATGTGCTGAAACCAGATCTCAACCTTTTCTGGACATCGTGGAACGTTTGCTGGGAACTGTGGAGAAGTAGAAAGATAAATGTATTTGTTTAGGAACGCGTTCGCCTTTAACGACCCATTACTGTGAATGTATGGTTAGAAAAATGAGCCACATTCAGGAATGAAAAGTTTGAAACTGTCGACTTTTTTATTAATTTGCTCACCTGCCTTTTATCCCAACATTCATTTGATTCACTTACTATTGCAAAGTGGAACTCTTTTTTTTGTAAGGTTTATGGAAGCAAGATTTGTTAGGAGCAGAAGTCTCAGTAAAATATTAATTAAAGGAATGGGTTTAATATCAGTTAATTCAGTCACAAAATTAAAAAGAATTCTGAAACACTGCCTCAAATTGAATCAAACATTAAGTCGGACCTTTCTGTTAACTTGAGGTTTTTGTGTTGTGAATTAGTGAAGCACTCAGATATTTTAGAATAAAAGCTTTTGTACACAGAGTCTGCACTACTGAGTAAAGTCATTATGTAAAATAGATTACCAGGCCTTTGGCATCTTGACAAAATGTTCAAATCAATAATGTAGGATTTTAAGAAACTTTGAAATTTTGTCTCAAATTCATCCTGCAAATCAATGCCCACAATGACTAAATGGTTTTTATGTTCCCTCCTGACCTATGACTTACCCATTTTTTAATACTTCAGATAATAAGTATGAGGAAAATTACCAAAACAATTTGAAGGGTATTACTCTTTACACACAAACTATACATGACATCGATGTCAAAATAATCTCAAAAGTTGCAAAACTTCTCTTTAGTTCTTAATGCATTTGCTCTATTTATCTTTAAAAATTAAAGCTCTTGTATGTTTCTCCTCCTCTGATTTCTGCTTTGGTATTGAGTCTCCTTAAAGTGAAACAAAAACAATGACATTAAGTATGATAAAAGAAACTACTTACTGTAGCTACAGATCATTTCAGAAGTGTTTCACTTTGATGTTTCTTAAGGATAAATAAGTTTTACTTGAGCAGCAATTTTCCCTGTTTGTGGTATTATTGGATATGACACAAGTAATTTCCTGTGTTAAGGAACACTTTATAGCTCTTTAATGTCTGCAGCCTTTGTTTGATTAGACAATATGGATGACATGCATTTTAAGTACTGGATAGATTTCACTAATGATACCTTTCATCCAATCCATTAACAAGAAACATCTTTGGACTAAATATTCGGTCCAGTTATGCTTCACATAATGAGTCAAAAGATTTTACTATTTGTTATATCAGTTGGTATTTCAAGAATTATATGTATAAAGAGGGACGCACCAGTCTGATTATGGTATATTTTTTCTGTTATGCCCAATAATTAATATTAACTAATATATGTGTTATATATTTGACAGTTTGAAAACAACGGGATATCCCCCCTTTCCCAGCTGAAACACAAAATCAGCAACAAAACGTAAATAAACATCGGTTGTTAATATTAAACCAGTTTGACACCGGTATGTTAAAAAATGGCCAAACTGATGTTGATTCCCATTGGTGTGTTTTTTTTATTTTTTATTTTTTTTATTTTAGCAGCTGAGATGTTGAAATTGAAAGTGAAGCGTCTTTGGGATGGAGGGAAAGAAAATGTCAGGAAAAAATGTGTATTAAATGAAATCAATGTCAGCATTGCAATATTCAGCAACAGTATCACAATTAAACGCTTTCTAGAGATTGTGCAGCTTTACCCTTTGCCTACTTTCTTTTCCTTTAATTGACTCTAAAATACTCAGCTATTCTGAGCTGTAAATACTAGAGCGACTTGAATTTTATATGGCGTAAATATGCAGCAAATTTCCTGTTGTTGACAGAAATCTGTTGTGAAATCTGAAATTAGTTTCTTGTTTATTCTTCTGCATAATATTCATCTTAGTACTTGAGAACTAATATAGCCACAGCAATAAGCTGCTAAGCTGCATGCCACAGTTTCTACTGGGTGTATGAATCATGCTTTGGTGATCATTTTAAAAATATGATTTTACATTACCATTTTCAAAGAAATTTATTTTTTATATCATTTAGTCAACGGCCAAGCTCGGCTTGTGTGAAAAGAACAAGATTTGTGGCTTGCTGTTCGAATCCCTCCGGTTTTTCATGCACAAACACACAAAAAAAAGACTCATTCATGTTGACTGTGCATTGCAGCAGAACAGCAGGTCTCTCTTTTCTCCAGATAAATGAGCAAGCTTATTACCTCCCAAACTGCCTATTAGCACAGCTCACTTTGTAGGGAACCAGCAATACAAGAATGAATACAGCTGCGTTCCTTATGCCAGGGAGTCTGGTTCTGGATAATGTGATGGAGTCTCAGTAGTGAGTTTCCTCATGTGTTTTCTTTGGTACTGAGACCCAACTTCCGCCTAACTAGGTAATTTTATCGAAATCATCCAGTAATTATCAAATTTTCTGAGATGTTTGTGGAGGGGCAAAAATGTAAAACATTTCCTTGAAAAGCTTTTTTTTTCATTTTGAGGCCTGTTTGAGTGCCTGCTGGGGCCAGCAATCGATTCAATCACTTAGTGACGTTGGAGTCGATCCATTTATCAATGTATAGTCTAAAGTGGGCTTCATTGTGTGCTCAGGGAGTTGGTGTTTATGTGTTTGAGTTGAATGTGTGTGGTGCCACCACTGGTCTCATTGTGTAAACATCAGTGTAGAAACACGTCCCAGTGGATATTAAACACTAGAATCCATTTACTTGAAGCGGAAACTGCTGCAGATTGCCTGTGGTGCCTGTCTTTGGCTGTGGTGGCAGAGTCCGGGATTAGTCTTTGCTGATTAACATTAAAAGGAGAACTTAGTCAGCATATGCAGTAATTTGTCTTGTCGTATTTGATTAAATGTACATTTTATGTGTGCCCTTTACTCTGACGCCCCTGAATAAAATCCAGAATATCAAGTTGCCTTCAGGATGCAATTAGAAAATAGTCAACATGCCATTTCATGTCACTGCTGTTCTGTAAATTCCTCAGAATTCCTTCCTTTGAACTACTGGAAAAAAATATGAATTTCTTCATAAAGGCCAAACCTCACAGGTTACTCTATTGCTGCATTAAAAATAAAATAAAATAAAAAAAAGTTAAAACTCTTTCTTTTTAAAGCAAATTTTCTATGTGTTTTATTCTGCTATTTTTTAATTGGCACTTAATTTTAGTTATTTTATTGGTTTTCAGGACATCATTTTGTGATAGCTTTGTCTGTGAAAAGGCTTAGCAGATAAACTTTACTTTTTTTCAAATGAAAAGCAACAATCAATTTACAGAACCCCTAAAGGAATAACTAAAAAAAAGAAAAGTTGATTCCTCCTGCACACAGGATACTCTTGGAAGCCAAAACTCAGACTGCTAGTATGGTTGTAGGAGAATTGAAAACACTAAATATATCTGACAATGTCATCCAAAAACTCAAGTAAAACATGGCAAATTATATTGCTTGTGTATTTGTAAAATTTTCACCTGTCCATACATGGACCAACTTTTCTTCTTTTCTCTTTACACATGTCCCCTTAGGGCACATGTGTCGAACTAAAGGGCCGCAGGCCAAATCTCGCCAGCCATCACTTTTTATGTGGCTCTTTACATTCTAGCTGGCCACATAAATTGCACCTTCAAGATAACATCTGTGTGCTTAAATATGGTTTTACCAGTCAAATAAAATTAGTGTTCATCTGTATACTGCCAAATTACATCAACATGAAAATATGTTCAATATTTAATTTTTAAAACTACTCATCAAATGGTACACTTATTGAAGGTGAGGACAGGATGAAGGGACATGTTCACAGTTTGAAAACAAAACCTTGTCAGAATTCTGCGCCTCTTTGGTCTGTTGCATACAAGCATACTATTATACATTCCTATGAAATGGGAAGAAATCACATTGGTTATGAATATTTTTACAAAACATGATAGTTACACCACAATTATTGTTTCGGTAGCAATGCTTCAGCCCCTCTGTGTGACTCAGACTGTCCTTGATGTTAAAACATAGCGCCTGACAGCATATAAGCACAGTTTTTAAAAAAAATAAAATATTGATAATATTCTGGTTCAAAGTTTTAATCTAATCATATTGTGTTTTTCTTTGCAGGGTGGGCTACGTAACAGCAAGCATGAGTGCACCCTTTCGTCCCAGGAATACGTCCATGAGCTGCGATCTAACATCATGGACGAGAAGCTGTTCAACTGCCTGGAGTCTCTCAGAGTGTCTCTCACCAGTAACCCTGTCAGGTTGGTAACAAGAGGTTTTATCACCAGAGGATAATTGTTCCTTCACTCATCTTGATCGCTGGGAAATTTTGATAGTTAAATTTATCAGAAGACCTCTGGCACCATGAACATTTCAACTCCTTGAATAAATCACTTTGTTTGGGTTGTTTAACCAGAGAAATGAACAATTTTGAGAGGAGAAACAAAGCTGGAAATAACCTGCATGGCAGAAAAATGCTGCTATTCACTGACTGGGACCAGATTTTCTATTTTGTTCTGAGAGTTGGGGAAAAAATATTATGTTATTAGTCTGGTACTGAGCAGTGAAACGACTCCAGTGTAATCCACGAGGCAGTTATCCATGTAAAAATAAAATTGCTTATTTTTGCCACCACCGTGCATTAGTGCGTACAAATGTTTGACCCACGAAATAACTCGACTTAATACAATTACTCCCACTCTTTGTGCGGCAGGCCTCTCCTTCTTTCCCTGTTTGACTGGCAGCGGTCACCCCAATTAAAATGGTCAAACGCACTCGTCTCATAAGAGCATAAATGTGTGTTTTTCTTTCTCCTATTTGTTGCTCTAACCACAAATTCATTCTATCCCAGTCCTCCAAAGGTGTTCAGTGAAAGCCTTGCGAAGCGCTTTGAGGTATTATTTATTTAGCTTAAACACCAGATTTTCTGTAGTCCTGCCATCTAATGTTACACCCACTTCAATGGGTCCCTCTTTCTGCTCTTACTCATGTTCACACCATTTTCTTATTCCAGCAACTTGTCTCTCATAAGACTTGGGGACAAGAGGTATCCTTAAGCAAGACCGCTGCTGCAAATTAGACATGTCTTATAGCTGTAGATAGGCTATCCATTTCTGTGAAACTCATTTAATGATATTCTCTCTCAGGAAGACACTTTCCTAGTATGATTCTTTTTTTTTCCTTTTTTTTCTCAGATCAGTTTCAGCTCTTTTGTTTGTCCCAATTTTCTCCTCTTTCATATTGGATTGTTTCAGACCATTCTCCTCCCTGATGGGATACTTCATTTTATGGAGCATCTGGACATAGTAATCTTCATAAACTGGGAAAATGTGCACCGGTTTTTGATTGTTTAAAGTAGATTTATTACCAGTTTTCAAAAAGCTGATATCTCTATTTGGTGACTGTACTGACTGAAACATGATTAAAAAACTTTATAATGAGAAGACAGCTGTTTAATTACTTTTGTACAGAGCTAAAACAACACATTAAACTTTTAAAACTTAAGGATAATGTTTTTAATTAGCTTTTTCTTGAAAATTAGCTTTTTAAATGAAGACCTTGTGTTCATAATAGAACGCTGACTCTAAGGTATTAAGTTTAAATTAGATGCTACAGTTTGTCTGACATGTTTGGCTGAACAGCCATAGATTGAGTTTCTGCAGGACAGCACTGATATGCTTGCACCATCTTAAATATTTTTGCAATGTTTTGACACTTTGTCACCTGTAACGGACATAGCTTTGAAGATAAAATATTGGTTTTAAGGCAGAATATTTCACTTATGACTAATACTGTTTAATTAGTATTAAGGACTTAAAACAATCTCCAACATCATGCTGATTACTTACTTGTAATTTAGTTTTATTTTATTTCATATTTTCTCTATAAACTAAACCAAAAATACTTTGTAAGATTTTGTGTTTTTGGAGTACGACAGACAGGTGAATAGTGAAAAACACATTTATCTAATAGCTATACTTTAACTTGTTTTTTTTAAGTGTCCCCATGAAAATATGGTTTTAAATGCTGCTGTAAAACTCACTGCTTGAAGATGAGCTGAGGTAAAATCAAAGACGGTATGAAAACACCTGGGATTTTTATCTGGGTTTAGCCAGGCTATCCGGTACTGATCATTTAATAATTTAGATGTCAACCCAATACTTGAGATTAATCTGGGACATCCCTACCAGTTAACTTCTTGAAGTGGCTAAACTTTTAATTGGTGCAGTTTAACCTTCATTAAAATGTGCATAGGAAACAACATAAGTGTGCATAATAGGTAAACAGGTTCTTTTCAATCTTTTTGAAGCTGTATATCTTTAGCATAATATGGAAATTTAGGTGATTTATTTATTATTTTTAGTTTGTTTTATGTCTAAGAGCCTTGTAACAAGGGTGGTTCACCGAGGATAGGGTCGCCCTGCAGATGTGTGTAAAAGGCTTTACCTCTTTCAATGTCTGTAGGAAAGAGTTAAATTCAACAGATGGTGGGGTTCAGCCAGAGATCAACCTTTAGCTGTGTAAGCAGAGGGGACTGTGTGGGTGTTGACTCACTCAGGTCATTTAGTTATCTTTATGCCGCTTATTTATCTCCTGGGACAAGCGACTCACTTTCCAGCAGCATGGAGAAGGTTACCGCTAATTAATGTGAATATATTTTGTTGTTATGGATCACAACGCACAAAAAGTCTGCATTTGACTGTGCTATGTTAATGTAACCTTTGTGCACTGTCATCATATTCTTACTGGAGCACCTCATGCTGGATTCCTTTGTGTGAGGGGGTGGTGGTGTTATGTCAACATTTGGTCTTTTTTTTTAACTAAACATGAGGGCAACATAATTTGGAAAATCCTTGCATTTTTTTCAACTTAGTTCCAACTTAAAATAGAATTCTCTTTCAAACACTTCTTTTTAAGCGTTTTTACTTATTGCTTTAGTGTAGTACACTTTCAGCAGTTTATTAAACAAAAGTTAAAACAGGTTTATTAAAGCTATGCATAAAAACGTGAAGAAAAGACAAATTTCTGAAATTACTGGACAGTAAGTTGTTTTAATTTTATGAGTTTTCAAATTCGTCTTTATATAATGAAATTATACGTTTTTCCTTAAATCTGACCATTTTTCTAACAGCTTAGCTCAGGTTGTCTTTGTGCTCTGCAGGTACATTGTTCGAAGCATCTCCGCTTACATCCTCATTTCTTTCTTGTGTTTATGATTCTCTCAGTTGCTTTCAGCCCTTTGTGTAATCCCACACTGACTTAATGACACTGCCCCGGCGATCCTGAAGTAAAAGCTTTCATGAATAATGATCTTGACCTGTCTCTCAGTCGGAAGCAGTGTGTCCTCTTACATGAAGCCCAGTCTCTCTGTCTGCTTATATTAAGTGGATAACTTGAGCTCTTTTAAATGTATGGGAGTTAAATCTGGCCTTCATGTATGTAAATCTGACCTGTGTCACAAAAACACTGAAAAACATTTAAGTTGATCTGATGATTTGTTTTGGTGATGAAAGCAACTAAAACTGTGTGTGTACCTCAAAGACTTGCTAGCAAAGTGTTGTTCTTCACTGTGAGTGCTTACCGCTGCTTTTTGTCTTCCCTCAGATGTTTGCACTGCCTGCTAATTTGCTCCCACAGGCCTGTGTTTGTCTAATAGTTTAATTGGCTGGGCTGTGCACCTGTTTGGCAGCACAGGTGGCCGTGTGGCCATTCTGCTGTGGGCCTTATCTCCAGGGCAGTCCCACACAGGTGTGTGGCATGCAGCCTTCGCTGATCCACCCACAGATGGCATTGCCCGGAGCGTCCGCTGCCTTCTCTGTTTCTGCTTTTGGTTTTCCTCGGCTGCAGAGTTTCTCTACTACTTTTTCCATTCAAATTTCCCCAGCCAATTATTTATCCTCTGTTTCATTTTCTCACTTTTAATTTTGTCATTTGGATACTCGCTGCTTAATTTAAAACTGTCAGATTTACAAGCCTCTTATTATTAATTTTGTAATCCATTCTAACAGAGTGAGATGTCACGTTATAGAAAATTAAGTTATCTTAGTTTCTAAGTTAGAAGGAAGAATTTGTCTTGTTTCAGCGAGACCCTCTATTTTTCTTGCATGCTTAATGTTTGCACCGTTTTGAGCTAATATCAATTCGAACATTTATCGCAGATTTAAATATTAAAAAATAACTTTCTTTGTAGAAGTGTTGAAGGGCATAAAAACTTCATATCGGACAGTGTGAGTAAGCCACCCATCACACTCTAGGGTTAGCGCCCTGCATGTTCTAAATATGCCCCTTCTCCAAACACCTGCCTCAGATAGTTGAATTATCAGGCTGTCACTTCTTTCTGCAGGAGCCTGCTAATGACCTGTTCATTTAAGTCAGTTTTATTCAACAGGGAAACATTTGAAATCATGCAGGACACGAGTCTGAGATTTGGAAATGCTCACTCCTGGTGTACTTGTTGACTAGGTTAGCTTAGTCATTAGCTTAGTGTGGATGATTTCGCTGAGGTGTTGTGCAATTTCTCAAGAGTTGCTTTTGCAGCAAACTGTGTAATAAAGGTGCAAAGTTGTATATCCTGCTAATTCTGTTCTTTTAAAATTTACAGAAAATCCACATAGTCATGTAGAGCATACCTAAACTATTGAAAAGAAGTTGGAGCTTAAGAAGCTAGAATACCAAAGTACCAATTGTGGGCCCTGCTAACTAAAACATTTGTAGCAGAAACCCTAAAACAATAATCATAAACATTAGGTTTGCTAACATAAAAGCATACACTGTTATGATACGTAGCAGAAGCTAATTCTAACCTCAATTAAAATTATATCTGCACCAATTTAATTTTGAAACCATAATTAACATGATTTATAACACCCTTATAATGTCTGTACTTTAGTTATACTAAATGAAAATTAAGTGGTGCCTTAACTCATAATATCCAAGTTTATCTTCAAACAAGTCATGACATCATGCAGCCAATAAGTTTGTGTTGGAGTGTAAAGACGGCCAATTATCATACTCATTCCTCTATGACAACAAAGAACTTTCAATATCATATTGTTCCACCCACAGCTTTTTCGCTTCAACGTTTTCTCTTAAATGTATTTTTTTTATGTTCCATATGTTTTAAATATAAATACTTTTACTAAATGAGCTAAATTTAAAGATACTTCAGTTAAAAGTTAATGAAATGAGTCTGCCTCTTGTTCTTAGAGTGGCACACAGCTTCATATAAACTCAACAATTCCATAATCGTTCCAAATATTTT